GAATAGGTTATGTGCTTTAGTTTATTTTTTTGCTTACTCTTGTGTGACATGAATATATAGATACATGTGAATTGAGTTAGCGTTGTGCAGAAAATAAGTTGATTCATATATGACTTAGATTGAATTAGTGGCCTTAGATACTAAATCCCAATGGGATAAAAATTGGATGAAAACCTAAAGTTACAAGTTAATTTTCGAGAATAAGTGTTTAAAAAAGACACTGCATTAATCTAGAGATGGCAAAAAAACTTGCCCCGCCCTAACGGGGCCTCGAACCGAATGGGGCAAAAAAAATCGGCCCTAAATGGGCGAGGGGAGGTGAGGTGGGGTGCCCCGTCGCAGGACAGGGTTGGGCAAGGATGTCTCGTCCTAAACCCGTCCCGTGAAGGAAAAAAAAATTAAAAAATTAAAAATAATTTTATTTCTAAATAATTCACCTGTTAAAAATCCATTTTGAATTTTTATTTTATTTTCTAATAATAACATAGCTTGAAACTTTGAAAATGTAAAAAAAATGAAAATTAAACGGGCCAAAAAGCCCCAGCCATCAGCCCGTTGCCATCGCTACACTAATCACTGCATAAAAGGGGAAATTTTGTCTTATTGTGAAGTTAACTATAATAATATCATTGTGAAACGTCTTTCATTAGCCTTTTATGACTGAGTGATTAAGTTTACATGAGTTTAAAACTCGATGTCCTATAGTCATGTGACTCGGATGTTGAAGCAGTCAAAAATAAAAAGAATCTGCATATGTTGATATGGTGAACTGCAATTAGTTAAATCTAGCCAAGCTGGAGATGGTAAGAATTAGTAAATCGAAAGTCAAACACAGAATTCATCGTTGGGAACAGAATAAAAGAAAAACAAGTTTGGGGGTGTGCGAATCCCACGAGCGAAGAAATGATATATTTGACTTTTAAGGTTAGGAATTGAACCAACTTCTGAATAAACAGCATTGCACTTAATTCTTTACACACACGTACATCCTTTCTGCATTTGATAAGTAAGAATTCGACTTTTGTGTTATAACTTTGAAGTATTTTATGAATTTAATATAATATTTTCAATCCTGAACCATAGAGGAAAGATATCTAACTAAACTTGTTTTAGGTGAATTCGTTTGTTAATTTGGTTTGTGTGTTTTCGTTAGTTTCTTTTCCTTTTCTTTTTGTGTTTGATCGAGAACTAACAAAATATTAAATTTGGGCGTATTTGATGAGTGTGTTTCACTCATCATATTAATACTACTTAATCTTGATATTTTGTTTGATTCTTAGAGTTTTAGAACCTTTTGATTTTTGTTTTCGTGTTATTTTATAGGTTAGGTGAATTAGTGTAAATGATACAAAATTTGGAGAAAATAGTAATTTTGGCATGAATCAAGGAGAAGTTGATGTTGATTTGGTGAAACTTAATGATTAGAGGCTAAATTGAAAGAAGGGAGTGAATAACGAAGAATAAATGTGCAATCAAAAGTTTGAGGCCTCAATTGCAACTTTTCAACAGTTGATTCGGACCAAAAAATAATAATTGAAAATTGCTAGGAGACATCGGATGTAATTAGAAGTCAAAAATGAGTGAAATAAGATCAAAATATGTTACAAATAAATTTTCAACACTCACAAGTATGTTTTAGATTTTTTGCTAGAGATTGAGACCCATTTTTGACATAGTAAACATTTGAATTGGAAAAGTTATTTAAAGTAAAGTTGTAGCCCTTGAGTTAACTTTTCAATTCATTTTGAATCGCTTCAATCGAATATAAGAAAAATGATAAAAATATTGAATGATGCACACTACTACTTTTCCGCTCGAAAGTGGGAGCTGCAGCATCACTGTTGCTGAATTTTACAGTAACGCGTTTCCTGGCACAGTGACGCCTTTGGGCGAGAAACAAGTTTTAATTTTTGGATTCTTATTTTGGTCCAATTTGACCCTAACCCTTCCAAAATTTCAAGATACTATAAAGGGAAAATTTCTTAACTAAGAATGTAACTATTACCCATTTTAAAAGTAAGAAAGAAAATTTCAAATTTCAAAAATCAGAAATTCATTAAATTTTATATATAATTTAATTAATTAATTATATATTTTATTAATTAAATATATTAAGGTCACAAATTTATATAATTTGATCACAAATTTACAATTTCATTGGCCACATATTATTTTTTGTCACGAATCAGAATTTTGTAACGTCACAAATTATCTTACGATCACAAATTAAAAATTTACATTTCACAATTTATTTATAGGTCATAGATCACAAATATTATAAGTCAAAATTTAGTCACAAATTATTAATTTTTAGGTCACATTTTATGTTTTCCATTGGTCACATATTATTTATTGGTCGCAGATTAACCAATTCACTTGTCACAATCAATCAAATAATCTGTGACTACCACAAACACTTGTGACCACCACTTCAATGCTACCTCCAACAGTAGTACACCGTCACCGTCAAAACCATCACTACATTGATCAAAAATTAACCATTTTATTAGTCACAACTTTCAATCAACCAATAGAATTGTCATAAACACCCACACCCCATCCCACCACGACAAAGCGTTGCACCAACGCCAAACACCACTAGCAACGCCGCCCACACTACAACACCATCACGCACGCCCCATCCCTGCCATCACTCCAAAGCATCACACCACCGCCAACACTAGACCGCGACACCAATGCCATTCCCGCACATAAAACACCAGCCACTAGAACTACTGTTGTCGACCACCGCACCATTGCTAAGTAGATTGAATAATAAAAAACAAAAAATTGCATATTCGAGAAAATCGGTGTTGCAGACGTCGGCACTCACCATCACAATATCTATCAATAAACCAGATACAAAAACTGCCATCACCTCATTGCCACTATCGCCATCACCTCATTGCCACTATCGCGATCATTTTCAACAACAAACACAACAAATGGAGGAGATGGAGAGGAGAAAGAAGCTGGGAAGAGAGACGAAGGGAGAGGGCATCACCGCCACACTGCTACCCACCCAACTGCCAAATCAACCACCATAATCCAACCGAGGAGTTGCATCTATGACCCAATCCATTATTTAATGTTAAGGGAGAAATGTAGAGAGGCAGAGGAAAATGCAGAGAGATGAGACGACTATGGATGTAGAGGGAGAGAGAAAATTAGGGTTCTAAGTAAAAATATTTATTTTATAAAAATATAAATTAAAATAAATTTTTTGATTTTTGAAATGTTAAACTACTCACCTGATTTTTGAACCCTAGATTTTGACTCTAGGGTTTTCAGTAATTACCACTACTATAAATATAAACCTAAAGACTACTTTTGAAAAAGAATTAAGAGGCTGAGATCCAAGAAATTGAGGAGGCAAAGATAACTTGGCAAAGAAGATTGATTCAACCATCCAAAAAATAGTTTTATCTTTCTTCTCTTCATGTCATTCTTTATGAATTGTATTGATTTCATGTCTCTTATCATGAACTAAATAATTTTTCTAGGGTTTGATTAGCAAAAATTTTAGGATATGATTTGATTTTGTTTTAGTTATTTCTATGAAAATTTTCAATTCCATTTATTTATGTTGTTGATTTAATGCTTTCAATTAATTGGTCACTAATTGAATGATTAGATGTTGGTAAATTTGGGCACTCAAGAAAGGGGAATTTAAGCACAATCACAAATATAACACAGCCTAGATTTTATAAGTTTCAAAAGAAAGTAAAGAATCTATGAAGCTTGCTCCATCTAAAAACCACCATCTTGATAAATCTTGATTTTAATTCAAACAGAGATATGATTAATTTTTACCAGGCTCTTGTAAGAAATGTTAAAATTACATTGAGGTTCTAGTTTATAAACATGGAAAATTGATGGCAGATAACTAGATTTTTGAAAATCATATTTGATAGTTAAATAAAATCATATCTTGAGCTATCCTATATTGATTAATTCGTATAATTTGCATTTATAACATTGAATTTGTCACAATTATCCTTAGTATGATAAAATATTGATTCAAAAATTCATTCATCTATTTAAAATAGAGACTTCATAATTATATTACTTAGTATAAAATTAAATTACAAACCAGTGAGTTCGACGCTTTAACTCCATTCATATATTATAAAACTTGATACTGTATACTCGCAGTATAATTTATGTTGCAGAAAATGTGTAATAATTATCCATCATTAGCATATGACAAATAACATTATTTTGATCTTTAGCCCTTGTTTAAGCTCCATTTTTTCCCATCAAAATACATTATTGAAGAATTCAACCACATGTTTTTCAATAAAATAATAGTACAAGCAAATTCAAAACTTTTCTTATTTTTTAACTACTTACATTTTCCATCATAACACTATTGCCAAATGTATTTTTGAAAAGAATGTGACTCAAACAACCCTTTAATTTGTTATAGGTCTCAACGTGTTTATAATCATTTTACAAAAGATGTTGTCTAGGCTAATTATTTTAAGAACCCTAATTTTATTCACCATTCTTGTATACCTATTCACTATTAAAAAAAAAAAAAACTATATTACAGTTTTAACATTATGTAAACTTACTTAGCCCTTGTTTGTCATCAATTATTTTACATTCTACCACATTATTTTTCTATAATACTCATTTCCAACCACACATTCTTCAATAAAATAATATTCAAAAAATTTTCCTTCTTTTTTAACCATACATTTTCCATCAATCTTCTACTCTATAATGCATTTTTCAAAATTAAAGAGGTTTAAACAAACCCTTACTTAAACAAGAATAAAAAGAAATAAAATTCATCACATCCACTAATATATTCATTAAATGCTTTTGAATATTTTATACTCTTTTAGACTTTACATTGAAATTACAATTCAAGATATTCCATGTGAATATCTTGACCATTTTAATTTTCCAAATATTGAATAATCTTTTTCAAAGGTGCAAAACATACTATTAAATTTCAAGTGTTAGACAAGTAATCTACCATGCAAAACAAATAACACGGAAGGTTTTTATATTTCTAAAACATCAAACTTCACGAGACGAAAGAGAAAAAGGATAGTTTCAAGCAGACTTGGATTTATTTATTTATTTATTTTTACATTTTTTTTGTCTTTTTATATATAACCTTTTGAGAAATCCCAAGTTTTGATAAGAACCCTTTCTTTACTTTTTTCACATTTTTCTTTGAAAAAATAACACTATCTGCATTCAGGGGTCGAAATTCAATTCCTTCAACAATGAGGCCTCTCTTCCAACAATTGGTTTCCAATAACCGTGCCTCCACCATGCCAACTCCTTTATCAGTATAAAAATGTCCCATTGCTACTTCCATCCATCCATCGGGTCTCCTCATGACAGCATTCTGACTATTTGTATCCTTGGGTGGTTGAAGTCTCAAAGTAGTAGCTGGCTTTTCAGCATCAGCATCGTCTTCATGGATAAGAAACTTGATCATCCCATTAGCTGATCCAAGGCCCTTGAAATTCTTTGCTAACCTATATACGAGATAAGCTGCATAATGAGTATTTGGGGATAGCATTTTTGCCTCTATCTTGCCTCGTATGTCAAGCCACCATACTTCCAAAAGCTTTGCCACTATTGAGAATCTGCATAACCACAGTGGGAGAGATAATTTCATTGATGAGATAGAGTTGACTCCGTAGAAACAAAAACCATTAGTATGGCACATTTTCTTTTCCAGGTGAAATCCCCTAATACATGAAAGAGTGAAAAAGTGCTTTTAAAAAGCCAGAGGGTTAATCCATCCAGTTTGATAAACCAATTGATCCTAATGTGGGCGGATTTGGTCCAAAGAGGGGGCCCGCAAAGGAAAAAGTTCACCAATAAGTTTTTCATCAACGCATTTATATATACATACTGATTCCTTCAGTTTACATGCCCCAAAATTATAAAAACGCAAAAGGTGTGCAAGGTGAAGGACCTGGAATCTATCTGAGACTTCCATTCCCAGTACTTCGGGATGTCACCCCAGGTAATTTTGAGTTCCTTTGCTCCAATCATATAACATTTCTTCCCTGTTCTTTTATCAAGATGAAAGCTCTGCATATTCATCGTCAAAATGAGATAACTTCATCCAGGACTTTGTAGCGGATTTCACTTAAGAATTTACTTATACGTGGTTCAATTAAAAGTTTGTACAATTGCATGCTTTTAACTCAAAATATTAACAAGCTATTAGAGTTCAAATGAATATTAAATATCATTATTCATAAAAAGAAATCTTTATTTTTCAATTAACATTTGCTCGCATTTGGTTTCTGTTTCCGTTTCCATAAATATGCAAACTAAGATAAAAATATTAATAAACACACACGAGAATGTTACCATTTTTCCACCGTCAAGTAAAATAGGAGATTCGCAGAGACTTAAGTAGAGGTCGTTCTTGGTAGCATAGGTTACACGATTCACGGATCTGGAGATGATGTTTTCATAATCAGGTGGCAGTAATCTCTCCCAGTCAGGTTCATTTACTGTAAAACCTTCAAGTCGAAGAATCTGCTCGTGGATTGGAGAATTTGCACTGGATATGGAGCTCGAACTCGCCCTGGATATGGACCTTGTACTAGGCTCTCTAGAAGGAGCTAAAGCAAGCTGCTTAAGTTTATCTCTATCAAACACAGCTTTCACTAGTCTCTCCCAATTGTCGCAGTAGTTATTATACATTTGAATAAAACACTTTAGAAATTTCTAAGAGAAACACACTTGAATTGTTGAAACTTTAGACAGAAGATTTCAACTGGGTTATTTGTATAATCATACACTGATACACGCTTAGTTGTGTGATTTCAGACATGCTTGTAGCTATTTATAAGGACACAAATCTTTGTCAACAACAATATCATAGAAGAGAGAACGGTCACGACGCGTTGCTTTTAGACTTCAGTGCTGATGTACTTTTTGGTATTATTGGACATGTGAAATCGTGGTTCATATTTCTTTTAAGACTCGTTGAACTAGTCAAAAATGAACTACTTGTTCGGAATCTTCAATGCACGACCCGCATTCATTGAAATAATTCAACTTGTGTAATAAATTAAAATTCCTTTTTCCTCTCATCTTATAATAAAGTAATATTTTATGTAATAAAAAAAAATGTTCTTCATTTTTTACCACACATTCTTCCAAAAATTATTATTTCTTTGCCCAAATAGGGGCTAACCGCAAAAACCATTTATCGAGTAGAAAATAACCGGGTCACTACTTGACAATTTATGGTAGTGGAAACTCGATTACAGTCTTATAGTAGTGTAGACAAAGACAGGCTTTTGTTTTTTTTTTTTTTTTTTCTGTTTACAGTTGTAAAGATATTAAAGTGGAGATTGTTTAGTTTATCTTTGAAATCTACTTTAGTTTTGATTTAAAGATAATTGGTCTAATAAGCATATTTAGTATATGCTTGCATCGTCATTATCTTTTGTATTATGACACTACTATAATATAAGAACTTTTATCTGGTCAAGTTAAAAAAACTATGATTCAAGGTATTATACAAAATCGTGGGAGTCATTACTGTAAGTGTTATGCCTAAGGTTCGATCAGTCTTGGACGTAAATACTTTTAATATATAATTAATGCAATTTAATACAATATCTATTATTTAATTAATAGACAATTAAATTAAATAATAGAATTCGTAGATTCAAATCTTCATAATTTTTTAATCATAAGGAGTTGTGGTTGTGAGATACAAATTATATATGACTGAATCTTAAATCGTCCGTGGTCGTAAGTAATAACGAGATACGGATATCTTTATTATGGTTAAACCATCACGTGTGGCATTTCTTACTTGTGAAGTAAGTAGTTGATCTCACAAACTAAAGTGTGATGACACTTGAATGAACACGTTGATATTTTGTTATAGAACAAAACATTGGAAATCCGCTTAGAAATTCCACATGGATAACTGTCTGAGTGTCAGTGGTTAATCTCTAACGTACGGTAGTGGGATTGGTCATTTGACTTGAGATCGTCATAGTACCTTATATGAGGACAGTCATGCTTTGATGGTGTTGGATGTTGCTCTGCCAAGGGCCGCTAATACGGCACCGTTCGGATTTGTCAAGAATCGTATGAAGATTGTTAATGACCAATAGATTATTTGTCACTCTTAGATAGTGAAGGATTATGATCTGCATTTCATTTAATTAAGTCGATAATGAAATATTTGGCCAATGTGTACTCATAAGTCGAAAATGAGTTTTTGACTTATATTGACTTAATAATGGAGTGAAAGATATAATTGATAATCGAGATTGATACACTTCCATATCTCGTAATTGATCGGATCATATTGACGAATGGATTATAGTCTCACGTTAAATGAACGAGTTTGGTTTTGTCATGCCATGTGACATTTCTCGTCACATATATTGCCCTGACACATTACTAGATGTCAATCTAGAACAGCAAGTGTGAATTGGTGACAAATTAAATGAGTATTTTAATTTACCAATTTTGATTATATCAAAATAATATTTCACGTTGTTAGACATCGTGATCGGGAACCTAATGGATAGCACACAAAAAGAGAACTGGAAGATTGTGATTGTGAGAAATTAATTAATTATGTTGCTTATTTATAGACCTGAATTGATTAATTGGGTTAATTAATTTACGGATCAGATTTAATTAAATTGGTTAATTAAATATTTGACCGAGTCAGGTCAAATCCGTTCGGGTTTATATAAATATGATTAGGGTTTTCAAAAACTATAGAAATTTTCCCATTATTCTTGCTAGCACAAGAAGAAAATATTAATCCTACAATTTTGTTCTCTGTGTGGATTACTGTTGGAGGTTGGACAATTGGACAACTGTGGGTGGCCAATCAACATCGTTGGAATGAAAGAATAGCAAAGAAGTTTGCAAATCTCGTAAAAGGTACATCTTTTACCATAATTTCTATCTAAACATAAAGATGAATTCTAGTGGGAATCGAAAATTGTTTTATTTTTGCTGTGCACATTTAAGTAGATTCCCAACAATTACAAGTATTTAAACATAAAATCTTACTATTAGAACAATAAAAACGTATTTTGATAATTATTAATAAAGACTGCATTTAATGTTTACTACAATACTTATCATTCTCGTCATTTAATGTTGGAAGCACCAAATATTTGGTTTAATTAGCCAATTTCCAAGAATCTGGTGTAATCGATTTGGATCAATATATGGAAGAAAGATGAAGAATAATAGAATTTATACTAGAATTGGACAAAAATATATAAATGAGTAAATTCGGAGACAATGAAACTTTAAATTAATATGAAGCTTATAACAATTGTCAATAAGGAAAAGCCATGTTGCAAAAAATGTAGTAGGGATTTATATTAGATGTGACATGAATCGGTTTGGACAGTTTGAGCAAATTTTTAAACCAAATCACTACTAAATACTTCGTCCAGTTTTGTTTTATTTAAAACCAAGGTTTAACAAAGAAAAAATTAATATATATCGAATAAATTAAATCATAAATATTAATCTAAAATTTCATGTTAAAACATAAGTAATATCATTAAAAATATTACAAATCAAAGTTCTATAATTCTACTCACTATCATGCAACAATATCATAGAAACATTTTAATCTTTTAGTTGATTTTAATTGACACAATATAGTTGTGACAATGAGTCGAGTTGAGCTGGTTCGCAAGTCCAAGTTCGAGGCTCAATATCAACTCTTATAAAATGGCTTGAGCCTTGTCGAGCCGACTCTCAAGCTTTTCGATTTTTATTTTTAACTCGAATATACGAAAAAATTGATAGTTAATTTACAAACTACATAATTAATTTTAAAAATTACAAATTTAATAATTCAAATTATTGAATTTTACAAACTAGGTGGTCATTAATTTACAAACTAAAAAAATTTATATGCAAGGTGGGCCACACGAGCCCACGTACGGGCCATCCCATATATGGGATTGCGTGGCTCACGACTTGGCCCCAATCTCCAACGAAATCTCATTATTGAGACTTGGCTCGTATAAAAAAGCTTCAAGCAGGCATGACAGGCTTTTTTCGAGTCAAGTTGACAGGCTTATTTGCTACCACTAACGCAATATTTGTAATTATAATACATGATTCAGTCCCTCTATAAAGATAAGAATATAATACATGAATTTATTTATTATAGTTAAATGATATGTATAAAACAACTAATAAAAGAAAATGAATAGAAAGATCAAATATGATAATACTTACTAGAGCTTTTTGTGAATCATCCAAATATTGAAGAATTACTATAGGTTCCTTGTTACTATACAATCAATTTTCAGGGCAAATCACCAGCCAAACCATATTTGCACTCAACGAACTCATAAATGAATCAAGAATTCGACCATTAGTAGGAAAGGTAGACTCGGAAGCAATTGTGGATAATTGAATAGTTAACACATTTTTAGCAATTTGAGGAATAATCTTGTATATGAATTTAAATATTCACCGAAATAATATGTTGAAAGGTACATTGGTCAAATCTTCAAAATGACTATTTAAGTAATTCATCAAATCATTCAAGCAATTAAAAGCAAAATTTAGAAACTAAGTTAAAATTTAAATAATTAATAGAGTGATCTGATCAAGAAATTGAGACACAAATAAACAAAAGATGCTATCAACTAAAAATTATGGAAGCTCGACAATAATTAGAACAAAATAACATGACTTTCAATATAGAAAACAATTATAATGGATAGTCAATGAATATGGTAGAAGGAAACGAAGTATACAAGTCTGAATTAAAATCCATACTTAATTGTCTACTCAATTATATTGGATAGCTGATGAACATGGTTTGGTAGCAATTATTCAACATTTCACCAAATTCGAGAATTTTACATTCACAGTTCTGATGACCGATGGGTTTTTAGATATGATTAATTAATTATCTGGGATGTATAATTGTTTATTTATTTATTTTTAATTAAGTTATGTTTAATGTGGATGTATTTTTTTAATTGGGATGTGTTTAGTTTTTAACCGAGTCAAATAAAATTTAGATTAATTTATTTTCGGATGTTTTGTTTTTTTGGTAAACGGTTTAGTGATTGAAACGGTTTGCAATTATTGAAAATTAAACAAACCACTTCAAATTAATTTGACTCTATTCAAAATCAAAACGTTGACAAACTAACGGTTTCGGAAACGTAGTTTCGATTCGTGGACTTGGCCCACAAGCTCAAGACGATTTGTGGGTTAGGACCCTGAATCTAGCTAGCTCAGCTTGTGGAAAAGTTTCAAGCTTGGCTTAATCCATGGCTCATCTTAATACGATCTGTCCATGAGCGGCTGGGCACATTTGTCACTTTAAATTTGAATTACTCTTCTTAACCAAATTTATGTTTTTAAAATGAAGTTCTAAATCATAATAGTAGTAACGACGATGTCCATGATTTCTTATTTGATTTTTACACGTCGGTTAGAGGAGTTCTTCGTCAACTGCAATCTACATTCTGAAAATACGTAGAAAATGCAGAGACGTGTTGTGTATAATGAACATGGCTAATAAGAATAATAAATAATGAGCTACTGACCTAGCCAAAAAGTGATTATGCTTTTTTTATTAAAAACATTAAAAATGACTTTTCACCACAAAAATTTAAGATAATCGGCCATACTATATTAGGACTCGTTGTCTAGCGCGGGCAGAATCAATGACTGAGTTTAAGTTTATTTTAATTAATTTTTTAGTATTGGATTTTTTTATTGCTATTTTAGAAATGTTCTCATTTATGTTAATTTGGTAACTTTACTTTTTTACTAGAATTCCTAATT